CGCGACCCGGCCGCAGCCCGCCGTGGCCGAGGCGGGGCTGAAGGCTGCCCGGCCGGAGTGGTGCTTTGAGGCGTTTTTTCCCGGATTTCGGGAGCCTGGAGCCTGTGCTGCAACCCTCCCCACGGAACTCTTCCATATCGCTGAACGAGCTGGCAGCTACTTCAGGTGTAACTAGTAAAGCAACGTACCTGATTTATTTATTACTTTGTTCCTCAAGTTTTCTTAAGTCCCGTGTTTTCTGAGCGGTGATGCAAATGCTCAGGCCACTGGAGTTCCCCAAATCAAAATACATTTTCCACGTTTCACCTCTCTTTGTATTTAAAGTGCCGTAAAAGCCTAAAACATGATGAGATCACAGAAAAATGGTTTAAGCACGGGGTACGGTTTTAGATTGCTCGCTACCAGCAGCAGTTACGCAGGAGGAGTGGCATCGTCTCCCCCAAAATCATGAAGGTGCTTAGTTAGGATAGTGCAGTTAAGCTGCTCATCGTGTAAATCACACAATATAATCACGTTCGTTCCAGTCAGGGATGTTGTTTTCGTTGATTCTTTTTATTGTAGAAAATGGCACGTCTACGTGCTCTCGCAGCGTATTATTTCTGATGTGTGTAGGAGAGGGGAGCCGGTCGGTGAGAAGCACCTCTTGCTGCACAGCGCTTGTGAAGTTGCTGCATGAAATCCAAACAGTGTTTCCGTTGCAGTGTCGTCGTAACATACACATTTCATCTGTGAAGGAACTGAAAGCTGAGGCAGATCACTGTGGCAGCCGATGTTGTCAGCCTGATGCTCTCAGTGTTTCCGAAAAACAGTCAGCACAATAGTAAAAATACATAGCAGCAGTGAATTTCTGAGCTTTTGGTACGGTTCTGTAGGTGCTAAAAAAGCTGTTTCATGGGAGTAGTGAGATGAAATTCACACGTACACAAAGAGCACTCGTGTTTACCTGTAGACACCCTAGCTTTTCCAGAATAACCTGTCGAATATTATTAGCCAGTGCATTGTTTTAGTGTATGGTTTGGTCACTACAAGTGATAACGGGTGGCGGTAGGACAGGAACTTCCCTGGTGCGGTGGTCTGTAACCTCAGCCTTCAGCGCTCTTGTCTGAAAGCAAAAGATGGCTTTGTAAGTGGTGGTGTGCTGGGCCTGGGGGTTGGAGTAGTCGGGTCTCCTGCATTCAAGAGCTGGGCGCTAGAACCTGGCTTGAGGTGTGGAGGTACCAGCTAGGCTGCCCTGAGAAGGAGCATCAGCCTTTGCTTTCTTCCAGCCACGCTTGTGGCACCAGTCAAGGGTTTACAATTGCATGCTGCTGCAGGGCTTGCAAGGCAAGTCTTCGGGGAAACTCACTTCTTTTGGTGTTTCTATGCTTCTGGTACTTTTCTGAGGAACATTCAAGTAATGGTCTGACGACATCTGTGTGCAGTTTAATCGGTGTTAGCTGTAGTTCCGTGGGACCTCTGAAAAGCATGTTTCTCTTTGTGAGGGACTCAAAACTTGCTGAGATCTTCAAGACTTCTTCCAAACATTGAAGGAGTTAAGATTCTAAAAAACCGTAGCAAAATTATAGTGGGAGAGGTAGGCAGCCTAAATGCAGGGGTCGCGAGCATTACTGCTGGTGATCTGAAGTTGGAATCTCTACTGAATGTTTTTAGAAACCTTTCTGTGGCTTCTAATGTCAGTTTTTGTTTTATGAAAGGCTTGGAAGTTGTTTCATCTGTGCACTGTTCTTGGGGTGTGTGTGTGTCCTTTTTAGGGGGGTGGGTGTTTTTATTTGTTTAATTAATTAAAACCGGGGCCTGGTTTAGTAGAGTGCTCTGTGTTCATCAGTAGTTAGTGTAGGTTGAAGAGGTCCTACTTAATTTGGTGTGTATTTGTCTTGCTGGCAAAGAATTTTAGGATTTGTTTCTCTTGGGATTTGGAAAAGAGAAAATAGCTGGGGAGTCGTGAAAATACCTAAGGCAGTCTGCAAAAGTCTTTGAGAAAATAAAATATTTAACTACTTAAGAGCATTGTTTTTGTGAAGCTGAATGTTCACAAGCAAGGAGTTGACACATCCTTTCCCGGGTGTACGTGCATCACAGCAGCCTTGCAAGCTTGTTTAATCTTAATATTACACTCGACTCTTCTGCTGGAAAGCATATTGCAGAGATGTGTGCCTCTAGCCCACCTCACCTTCATTGTTCTGTATGTGCTTATAATCTCTGCGGGCTCACTATTTTTGGTATAATCTGAGTAGTAGAAAATACTATTATCCTTTTAAGGAAAGGAAGCATGTGCTGCAACTCAAGGAAGTGTGAATACTTAACCTAGCACAATGTTGGCCTCTTGTGGTACATACACACACGAGGAATTGAATTTGACAGTGTTTTGAGGCTGTTTATTTGACATCTTTTTCTAAAAATATTGTCAAGGGCTGTAAAATGACTGGTATCAGAATCTTAAGAGTAAGAGAGTAAGTACTTGGAAGAACATGTTATTTTGACATAACCCAAGCATTAGTGGTGATGTTCACAAATTATTTACTTTTATTCCAAAGAGAAACTGAAGTAGTAGTGGGAATTGCTTTCCTCAGACCGATTACCTCCTTAAATACTTGTAGGCACATACAAAATGTCAGTTTGAGCTAAACATGCATGGGCAAAGTTGTGTGGTTTTGCTTAAATATGGAGAATTGATTACTGATAGGTATTTTGAACGTCTAAAGAAAGTTTTGGTTAACTTCTAGGAAAAAATGCATCTGTTGACTTTGTATTTAGATTATAGCAGCAAAGTTGTCATGGTATTGTTTTGTACTCTGGCTCTGCATTGTCTGGAGCCAATCTTTCAGTACTCTGATAGTGCAAATTAAAAAAAGGGTAGAAGTACAAGTTTCTGACTTGTTCAATATTTCTTGTACACTAGTAACTACACTAAATAAAACTCCTTTTTTTTCCTCTTCTCTTTCAGAGTTCACAATGACGAATGAAGAACCTCTCCCAAAGAAGGTATGTTTGAAAATACTTGTGACTTTACCCCTCCAGGTAATAACGACAGCGTGATAAGTTGTGCTTTTCCTTTTGCTCCCCAGGTTCGCCTTAGTGAAGCAGATTTTAAGGTTTTACCTAGAGATGAGCTCATTCTAAGGTAAAGTAAAAAGCAGTTTTTCCATCTCACCGTTTTAGTGAACTTTTAGTGGGAGGTGTGTGACCTCCCTCTTCTGTTGTGTTTAGCATTCCTGTTCTGACAAACTGTTTTATCCTTTTCACGATACATCTGTTTTGTAAAGTTCCCATATTGTCTCAAATAGTTCTACATACAGTCTGGGGGGGAAGCACTTTTTCCAAAGAGACAAAATCCTGAACAATATTTTGTAATACATGAGTAGGAGTTTATTTTCTTCTCCTGTGACTTCAGAAGGTACGGTTGCTTACATTCCTTGAGAGGTAGTGAGTTATTTTTAAACATCAGAAGAATGTCAACTCCTTACTCCTACAGTAAGTTTTAGGTTTTTTTCGTTCACACAGTTGTCTTCTCAGCACATTCAGATACTAACAGTAGAATGTTAAAATGAAATTTTCATAAGGAAGAGCCTGGCCATTTTTTTTCACCTCTTAGAAAGCTAAGTGTCACCATGGGGGAAAAATAACAGGCAATCCTGTCAGGCAGACCACCTGCTTAAAGAGACCCACCCAAGCCACTTGTCTCTGTATATACCTGAATTTGTTTGTTAACAAGGAGCTGACTAAACTAGGCATCTGTGGGTCATTTCTTTATCTGCTGGAGTAGTTTGCGTGTGCGTTTTGGTGGTCTTCAGCTGTAAATTATCGGCATTATTAGGGTCTTTGAAGTGAAATACTGCCACAAAATATTTTGTTTCGTAGAACAGAGGCTACACTGTGTAGAGACATGAGGATACAGGCGTAATGAGGATACGTAATGTATGTGATCAGCTACTTCCTCTTGTGGGCAGACTATCCCGCCAGCTACTTCTGGGGTGGCAGTTCTTTCCATGGGAGTCAACGTTATCTGGCTCTGTGTGTTGGAAACTGGTTTCTGGCTTCCTACAAGTATAGAGTCTTTTGAGTAGTAACCGATTATGTATTTGAACAGTAAGAGAAAGTGTGTTTTGACATTAAGTGGCTTAGGCCTTTTTATAGAAGTTTCCATGCTCAAGATTATCCCTGGGAACATCCTAGGGAATTCTTAATGCTGTGAAGCTGTGCCCTTACTTTCATCTATACAATTCCTGTCAAAGTACCAAAATGCAGGTTCTGTGCCACTTGGTTTCTGATTGTTAGTGTGAAAACAAAACAAACAAACAAAAAGGCTTCCAATTGTAATCAGTTTCTGTAATGTGCAGTGATCAGTTGCTGCTGTAGAGGAGATCAGTTTCCAGCATATATTCAAGTGAGAATGTGATGGAATACACCCAAGGAGGTAAAGTGTGTCACCAGCTAAACTGAGTTGCTGAAGAGATAGGAGGGAATTTGCTGGTGACAGCTGTGTTGCTGTCACATCTCTTGTCTTATAGACAAAGCAACTTCTGCTCTCAAAAGGGCTCCTCGAAGGATTTACGGAAGTATATAATTTTAGGTTTGCTCACTTTAACTTCTGTTGACTAAACGTGAACAGGAACATCAAGAAGCCTTTCAGTCTGGCCTTTTGGGAATTTTGGCTTGTCTCATTACTTGTTGCTGTGGACTCATCTCCTTCGTCTTTCCCCTTCTCTCTTTAATGCAGTAGCTACTTAACTTGGCTGTGCGGGAGCTTCGGTGAAGAAAGAAGAGCCAGGAGCATGATAACAAAGCACTCTGTGGATCATAGCTATAAATCTGATCAGTATTGCCCTGATCGTTGAGCATAGTGGTTAGTCTGTGCAACACTGAAGCACCCCGATTTACACAAGCAGCTCTGAGGACGTGCTGTGCTTTTGCTTAACTTCAGGCATCGTGTACTTATAGCCAGTCGTTTTTGGGACGGCTTAGGTGTGGTGCTGTGTGCTCTACCTCCTAAGCGCTTATCATTTATTCTTGGAAAAAGTGAGCCCCAAAGCTCAGCATAAAAAAAAAAGGGTGCTTCAAGAAAAATAATGGTATTTATAGAGGTAGTTGAAAGCCATGAAGTCTTAAAGTCTGCTTAATATTTTTAGAGAACAAGGAGAATTAACTAACCTACATAACGCTTCTGAATTACCTTCCAGTTCTCCTGAGACTGTAAGTGACCCTTTCAGTGTAAATCTGATTCAGGACTGTCTTCCTAGTTCTGTGTACCGCTCTGTCTCAGTTCTTTAGTGCCTTTTGAAGTAGCACGTTGCTGAAGTTCTTCAGCTCCTCAGTGTTCAGCTCTCCGATTACTGACATGACCTTCCCAACAGATCAAGAAGCCAGTGTTGAGTGGAAACCAAACTGATGGGTGAAAAAAACCTGGCTTTTAGCCTTTGTCTTATTCCCTGCTCAAGTTCACTGATGAGCTGCCCGAGTCCCCTACATATGTCCCAGAAGAGGCAGTATGGGGCAGGGAAGTCAAGGCAGCTCTCAGGATTGCTCAAACCAATGCATTTCTTAGATTATGTGTGTGAAGAGGAGAACTCTCTCTTGGATCTTGGGAAGAAAGGCTTCAGACTTAAGATCTGGCCAGTGATTTCCTAGAAATCGATGGTTTATTTAAAGAAGCTTTTGCAAGTATGTGTAAATTCTTAAATAGTTTAACTGGAAACTGTCTTTTTACTTCAGTGGAAGGGTTGACTTTTACCTATGTCTATTAAAAAAGAATTTAAACTAGTGCAGTATTGTGTGTAGGAGTTCTCTTCATATCAATGCTGATTTTTTTTTAACATATTTCTTCTACTGAACTTTAGAATGTATTTAAGGGCAAATACCTTTTCCCTGAAGAGCCTGTGAAGTGAGCTAGCTAAGAAATGATTGAAGTATGTAATTTTTAGGAGTGCTGTTCATATGGAAACTTTCATAATTTGAGGTCTTTAATGTGTTCTGATGTCCTGTGGGGAAGTTGGGTGGTTTTATGCAGAGAATTACAATATTTCTGGATACAGCTTTCATTAAAGTTTTGAGCTGAATCTGAATTAAAGACCTGCTCTGTGACATATGGTGACATCTGTGAGTTGACTTTTTTCCTAACCGTTTCCTGATAGCAGTAGGGCCTAATGGAGCTTCAGCTCATACTTGCTATTTTTTGTCTTGGTAAGCTGTAGCTCTCAACCCTTGGGCTTTACTGGAGTTGGTAGCTGGGATTTCTAGGTGATACTACATTCACTGCTAGGTCGGCTTCTGCTGTCTAGTTTCAACATGGCATGGCTTAGATTCCATCACTGAGCGAAGGTGTCATTACCACATTCCACAAATGTGTCCTTGTCACCTCTTTCAAGCTCTGTGTGCAAACGTAGCCTGTGAGATTCATATAAGGGGAATGCAGGCTCACCTCAGCCTTGTGTGTCAGCAGCTGGGAGTCCCTTTTACCGAAAAGTGCAGGAGCAAAACTTGTGCATGGAGACTCAGTTGTGCGATGTAAGGCTGAAGTTGTGCATCTGGAAATAGTGTCCTTTTATTGTTTAGGTAAAAACAGATTGTCTGTGAGAACTGTTGATTTAGAGAATGGTGTTACAGACATAACACCATTCATGTAGTCATTTGAGACATAGAAACAGTTTTACACCGGTTCTGTTTGATCTGTTCTTCTCTGCCAGTGTAGACATAACAAACAGAGAAGTAGGAATAAACAGATGGGACTAACAATGTTCAGAGTTGGTGCACTAAAAATATTGTCAGTGTCTTTGTTTTTTAAAATGCTTTGTTCTTGTATAGTTCCCTATTTTCCTTTTTATTTTCTTTCATGTAACTTTAGAAGTTAGAACTCGGTAACTTCAATTTTTCAAAGATACGAATTCCACTTTAATAGTACTACTACTGTAAGCAAGGGAAAACGATCATAGTGAAATAAGCTGGAAAGACAGTGTTTAGGAAAATAGATTATTAAAGGCGCTGAGCAAGAAAAGTTACTACAAAAGGAGGTTAAGAACTTAGGAAAAAAATCCACCTTCTATAATTTCTTTCTTTAACTTGGTTTCAGGAATGTGTTTGAGAAACAGGCTTGTTGATATGCTTGGTAAATATTTTGACGTCCTCAGGTTTGCTGAGATCACCACAAAAATGTATACATATCACATGAAGAATCACAACTGCAAGTTTAATTGAGAAAGAATCAGTCCCCTTTTTCAGGCTGTGAGTTGTAACATGGAAGTCAAGTAATCATGTAGCAGTATTTGAAGACCAGTTCTTCTGTTTCATGTAAAAATCAGGTTTGTTCTTTCTGGGTTTGCAGTTTAGTAGACTGTTTCAGTTTTACTTTTGGAGGATTGAAATCTCCTGAACGAATATGGAACTTGTAGTGGTCAAATGGTGAAGCTTTTGTTTCTAACAAAACTTTCTAACAAAAGTGCTCTTTTTAGAGCAGAGAGGTAAATTTAAGGGCTAAGTGGGAATAGAACTGCTCTCTTCTGCAGAGCTTGAGAGTTAATTCATGTGGATTTCATCAGAAGAGGTGCAAAATTTTGTTCCTGCTGGAAGGAGATCCTGTGCTTACTTCTCCCAGTGATGCAATATAACTTGCAGTTACAGATCTCATGCTTTTTAGACCCTTTAATGAGCTGCTTGAAGTCACTAAATGGTCGAAAAAAATCTAGAGTTAGATGTTTAGTTTTGATTCAGACAGTGGTCGTTTAGGTTAGGGTTCCTGCTGGAAGGAGATCCTGTGCTTACTTCTCCCAGTGATGCAATATAACTTGCAGTTACAGATCTCATGCTTTTTAGACCCTTTAATGAGCTGCTTGAAGTCACTAAATGGTCGAAAAAAATCTAGAGTTAGATGTTTAGTTTTGATTCAGACAGTGGTCGTTTAGGTTAGGAACTTAAAATAGAGCACTTGATGAATCTGGTATAAAGTAGGTGTGAGGGAGAAAGGGTAGTTGGGAGGAAGGAACAGAAGCTTTCCCCTTATGTAGTGGTAAGCTATTGGGTGCATTTGTTTCGTAATGTAGAATTGTACCATCATGAGAAAGGTACATAGTTAGAAACAAAGTACTTCTTTAAAAACAAACAAAAAAATCCCCAAAACACCATCTTGTGAACTTTTTTGGTGAGGCATATTGTGTTGAGCTTTACTGCAGACTACTGCTGCTGATTTGATGTTTTGTATCAAATGCAAAGCTGTTTAAGCGTGAGGTTTTCTGACTGTGGATGAATTGCTTAATAACGTGCCTTCAAAGAGTTATTAAACTGTTTGGCTCCTGGTTGATGAATACAATCAGAGTATGGTCTTGATTTAAATGAGCTGGTGTGGCTGCCTAACATAGTCTGCCAGTTCTAGTGTGGTTTAATACACTTTGGCTTGTCTTGTTCACTCGGTAACAGACTTGATGTCAAGAGTTATGGTTTCTGATACAGAATTCTGTTTGAATTGTTCTGCTTTGATAAAGATGTATCTTACGGACTTGACACAGATGACCAAGCAATGTGTTTGATCCCAATGTTTGTCCAAAATACTACAGTAAGTTTTATGATGTCAATTACAAGTGTTGTAATGCACAACTTCCGTTTTATCCTTTTGAGATGTAAAGTGGATTTAACTATTTCAGTGATTAAAAGCTCCTTTTTTAAAACTGGAGTTGTCTTTTATGCAGTTGTGTAATTTCATTTGACACCTTTTGATTATGATATGAATGTATACTCTGAAAGCTGAGGAATGAGATGCTTTGATTCAATCAACCAAGCTTCAGAAATTTTTTTTATCCTTTGTCTGCAATAGGTGGAAGCAGTATGAAGCATATGTGCAAGCTCTGGAGGGCAAGTACACAGACCTTAATTGTAAGTTAGCCAAGTTTCAAAATGGTATGAGTTACCTGATTATTTCTGTAAAGCAGAGTGTTTTAAGTAATGTTTGTGTTTACTAAAACTGTTCAAATAAGAAATAATAACCTGTATGTTAGTTATTTGTCAGAAAAAGTCTGTGTTTTTTCTAGTTGTAAGTTTTCATCCTTTCCCAACTTTCTCAGCCAGTTATTTTCTTCTGCAGATCTTACACAGCATCTAAATTCTATTCATACGGGATTCTATGATAAAAAGTCTATTTCTGCATCTGTAGAACCATCTGTACCCAGACTCCTGGGGGGAGGGGGAAGTCTCAAAACATAACCCCACAAACAGGTTATTTTCAGGACTTTTCCATTAGAAAGGAAATATTCATAGACTCACAGAATAGTTTAGGTTGGAAGGGACCTTAAAGACCATCTAGTTCCAACCCCCCTGCCATGGGCAGGGACACCTTCCACTAGACCAGGTTGCTCAAAGCCTCGTCCAGCCTGCCCTTGAACACTCCAGGGATGGGGCATCCACAACTTCTCTTTCTTCTCTACCAGAATATTCCATGAATGTTTGTGCCTTCAAGTAGTCTCACAGGATTGTAAACTACATGCAGGTGGCAGTAGTTTGTAAAGGTAAAGGTCTAAAATGAGCCCCCAAGTAATGTTTGGTCTGGTGTGGCTAATTAAATATGATTATCAGTCTTGTGGTCCTTAAAACTGGATCTGTACCTCAGCCTTTCAAAAGAGAACATGGGAAAAACATCCTACTCTCAAAGGGGAAGAGCTGAATAAATTCTGGAAGTGACTGAATTGCCAGTCCTATGGGCGCTTTCCTGATTTCCACTCACCTTTTCAGTCTAAATACCGACATAGTGCCACTGGGTTTGAAGGGAGTAATATGTAATAGGGGTTGGTTAAACAAGCAACTTAAAAGTTATTTCCTATATTAACATGGAAACATCTTCAAAAGTATGTTAAGTCTTGGAAGGATTGTAAAGATGTATTTAAAACCAACTGTTGACAAGTTTTTCTAATACTTAACAATACTTTGATTTTTCTTATTTATGCTTATTGAAGTCATGCTTATTTATGACTCTTACTGTTGATGAATTTGGTTTTCAGATTCTTTTAGTTGTCTTTAAAAATTGTTCATGAGAGGGTGCTATAAAATGTGTTTTGTTTGTTATTACTTGTATTAGCTAATGATGTGACTGGATTGAGAGAATCTGAAGAGAAGTTGAAACAGCAACAGCAAGAGTCTGCCCGAAGAGAAAATATTCTGGTGATGAGGCTGGCAACTAAAGAACAGGAGATGCAAGAGTGTACTGTAAGTATTTAGGGACGACAAAGGTTGTCAGACTGTTAGAGGCAAATCAGCTTTTGCGCCAGTACCCTCTGTGCTTTGTGTCTCTACATCATGTTTTCTGTGCTTAAAGAAATGGCAGGGAACCTAAACTTCCACTGAATTAGTGAAGATCACTTCTTAAAGTTTTCTTATGTAATATCAGTTATTCCAGTTGGTTTTCAGCAGCAGTTGTGCCTGAAAGGACTTTTGCTTCAGAACCAAGCTAATTCTTGCATGAGCCATGCTTACCCTCTTCTAGCATCTATCAGCTCTGCATATTTACCAAAAATGTTACTTCTGTCATTGGATGTAGGAACAAATTGAAATGTAAGGGTAAGATTTGAGTTTAATGGATTTCATTTAGGCGTTTTGGGGCTGATACTTAAATTGGATTTGGATAAGAAGGTGTTTGTAAGCTTCTGCATCTGTTGGGCTGGGTAGGGGAAGGAGCTACTTAGGTTTCCGGAGGAAGTTCTTTTGAAATTTGGCAGATCTGCTTCTCAGGGTTTCTAATGGTTTTTGTACTGAATACTTTTTCTACTGCTGTTTCTGTTTTTTCTCTCCATTATTTCTGTGGGTTTTCTCTGTTTTCTTCTGTGTTTAGTTTTGGTTTCTTGAAACTATCTTCTACTTTTGGATTTTTGATCTTTTTTTTATTACCTTCTTAACATAATTTTCATCTGCTGCTTTAATTTGGCAGTCCTGTGAAAAGATTGCAAAAAGCTTCTTATTGCTAGTTCCTCTAATACATTCCTGAGAACTTCTTATAAAAGCTACAATACTAGTTATTAGTTTTGCAGAGATTGTAGCTTTCCTGGTGTTTTGATTTTTTGTTTAGCCTGCCTTTCTTTTTTCCCTGTAGGTCTTCAGAGCTGTCAGGTATAGTAGTGTGACACTGAACTGTACACATTATTTCACTGTTCTTAAGACTGTAAGATGACTTTAGTTGATGCGAAGTACTGGTATGAAGAGAAAAAAAGAGGGGGTAAAGCATACTTTGCAGTGGCAAAAAGAAGAAAAGATCACAGAACCAGTGAGGTTGGAAGGGACTTGCAGTTTGTCTAGAGCAGGGTCAGTTGGATCAGGTTACTAAGGACTGCACAGTCAGGCTCTGAGCGTTTTGTAGAATGGAGTCTCCCAAACCCCTCTGGGTCACCTGTGCCAGTGTTAAACTACTGTCACAGCAGAAAGCGGTTTTTTATGTGTAAGTGGAATTTCCTGTGTTTCAGTTTGTGCCCATTGCCTTCTGTGCTTTCAGTGGGCACCGCTGAGGAGAGCCTGGCTCCGCCTTCTTTACTCCCCCCATCAGGTATTTATGCACACTGATAAGACCCCTCTGAGCCTTTCTTCCTGCAGGCTAAACAGCTCTAGTGTGCCCAGCCTCTGCTTGTATGTCAGATGCTTTCAACCCCTTAATCATCTTCATGGCCCTCCGTTGGCCTCACCCTAATGTGTCCGTGTCTATCTTGTACTGGGGAGCTCAGAACTGGACCCAGTACTCCAGATGTCTCACCAGTGTGGAGTGCAGAGGAAGGATCACCTCCCTCGACCTGTTGGCAGCACTCTTCCTAACGCAGCCCAAGATGCTAATGAAGATCTGTGCTGGTACTATACTGCAACACTTACCTAGTAGTAAGGCTACTGCACTGAACCTGCTTCTCTTGTTAATTTTACTGATAAATTCTGCCACGAGGAACAGCAGCAATAAGAGTTTTTTTTCTTTTGAACTCTGAAACAATAAATGCTTTAAAAAAATAAAAAAACATGAGTTTCCACCAAAACCAAATTTGCATACTGTTTTCACCTATCTTCCTCCCTATTTCTAAAAAAGTAAGTTAGACAAAATGTCAAATATTTAAGACTATGAATTTTGATAAGATCATGAAGACTATAGGATTTTTGGCTGCACTTTGTTATAGATTTTCATCATTGGTGCATAGGCTTTCCAGGGTGTCTGTTTAGAAGAACTTCTCAAGGGCTTTTATTAATTTCAGTGTAGTTAAAAAAAAAAAAAAAAAGTAGTAGCTGGGAACAACCTACTGGATAGGACCAAAAAAACACATGCACACCCCCCCCACCCTGGGTTATATTTTTCCAGGTATTGACACATGAATAACATCAAGGATGTAATCTCCATAGTGCATGGACGTAGGAAGATGTGTCCCTGAAGAAGGGGGATGGAAGCTATAATGAAGACACTGGCATGTTGTTTTCAGGTTTAAACGGTACTTTCAAGAAGCTCTGGAGGACTACTTGGCTTTATAGTACTAGATAGTACTTTTTCCAGTAATGTAACAGTGTCAAAATAAATCTTGTTGGATGAGATGCAAAGCTAAGCTATAGGCTGCCAGTTAATTTCATAAAGGAACAATTTAGGATATGGTGAATAGTTTTTATTTGAAATGTCTACTTTTTAGTCCATAAAATAAGTTATTTCTAGCATAGTTGTCCACTTTTTATAATCCATATTTACTTATAAAATACACTTTTGACAGTTATTTATATGTAAGCTTTTAATGTTTCCTGTCGCATCTTAATTAGAAAGACTGTGGTATCAAGTTTCTTGAAAACTACAGGTGAATATTTACCATATAATACTTATTGTTCATGTTATTCTTAGTGTGGTGTTGGGACATGTTTTATACTTACAGACTTACTGCATTCAGGTGACATTCAAATTGAAATGGATAGAAATACCATACCATATTCAAGTCATAGTATTTGACAAAGCCATCAGTGAGTTTTATGATGACTGATGTGTCAAACACCGTGCTAGTTAAAATATACTAGCTCAGTTTTAAAATCAGATGTGATAGTTTGTCTTAGTTGCCATTTTATCTTGTACTCTTGTTTTTAAAAGACAAAACACACCAAGAAAACTTATTTCAGTTTTTAAAAGTCACCAGTCATTCATTGACTTGCAGGTGTAGGTGTGTATGTGAGAGAAGCAGAATCGTTGTCTGGATTCTGCTTCAGTACTGTTTTTGAAGAAACACGGTAGTAGTCGAGTGCCTAGATCCGTTCTCTCGTGCTCTGTGCCGAGTCTAGCCTCATCGTGTATGGGTTTCTTCTGAGCCAGGAGCTCACTGAGAGTCTGTCTGATATTGCACACTTACTCTGTGTGGATTTGGGTAGCTAACTAAAGGGCTAGACTGAAGTTCAGGTGTGCACTGTCGTCGGCAGCAGCCCTGAGCTACCTCCCCCCTGTCTGGAACAACCCCCTCAAAGAGGTTGCTGTTAGGGAAGTGCGGGTAAGGTATTGGCTGCTGTTTCTACATAAAGCTGTAGTTCTGGCAGAGGTGGTGGTGAAGTTTTCCCTGCGGCTTCAGGGAAAGGCCTTAACCTCTTCCCAGACTACTGCACAGCTACTGCAGGTCAGGAAGTGGACAGGCATTGGGCAATACTTGCTACTCAAATAGATTTTCCATGGAGCACAACAGTGGAAGCTTCCTGTGGGTGCATTTGGACTATAGTACCTGGATAATCATTATTCTTACTAACCTGCTTGTGGTTTAGGTTACAGCTCTGTTATGTTAGTTGTCTTCCTTTTGCAGTTTCTTCCCTCTCATTTGAAGGATATGTGGTTGTACTTAACCTAGATTACATACATTTTCATTGAAGCACCTGTGTTATGTTTTGTTAAATGTGTCATATCAGAGTGTATGTCTTTCGTGGATATCTTTGGACAACTTCACCGGAAAGGATTCAACTGTTTCCAAGAACATGTGAGAAGCATAGGGGTTGAAAATGTTACTGTCCGTCTTAACAAACAAATCCACCCAAACAAAACACTGCACAGCCAGATGTACTCTAAATAGACTACTTCCAGTGGTCTCCTGGCTTGGGTTAGAGCAGAGAGAAAGCAGATACCAAGGGTTTTTTTCTGTTTGTGAAAATTCATCCCTGTTTGTCCATCTGATGGGCTTTTTTGGGGCAAAAACCCCACGACAATGACAAACACACCACCGCAAACTAACACCAGCTAGAGTGTGTTTTCATGTTTGGGAACATGAACAGCCCGTAAACATTTTGGGAGTCATAGTGGGCATGTCCTAAGGTCTGGCACTGGACATAACTATTCCTGTAATATTCAGCCCTAGCGAGAAGTTGGTCCTGACTGCAGGCAGCCTCTTCTGCTCCCCACCCCTCACCACCTGGAATATCAACAGGAGGAGATGGGAGCAAGGATGGGAGGCTTGGGCTGGCTAAGCAGGAAGAAGAATGGATTAGGGAAGCAGGCAGAAGGGTTAAGAGGCATGGGCTTGCTTTGGGGGTGTGTCATATTGTGGGGTGGTTGCTAGGTCTGGGTAGAAGAAAAGCCTGACAGGTGGGAACTCTGGAGTTACAACTGGAGAAAGCACTTGTGGAGGGGTGGAGAAATGCGAGTTGAAAAAGCTGGAGGGATAAACGGTCTTTAAGTCTGGGAAGGAATGAGCAAGGGTTTGTTTGGTTAAGCAAGTTTTACTCTACTGTTTTAGGACTAAGGGTGTTAGGTGGATCCTATGCAAGTGCTCTCTGCTTGGCCTGGGAGCATGAGCTAGAAATACCCAAATGAGACTGTGAAATACCTGATGCTGGACAGAGTCAGCTGGGTCCTCTTGAGTATTTTAGTGCCGTTCTGGCATGTGTGAGGACCAGGTGGCAGCAATTCTTTGTGCTACTGATAAAAGGACTCTTCCAGTTCTTAGGCTGGCAGTAGGAGAGGGAGGGAGCTGGGCCTAGGTAAGACAAGGAACAGGATCTTTATTTTCCGCAATGGTGCCTATCTAAAAATAGGTTGGAAAAAGTGTTGCTGTAGCATAGTTGTATTCCTGGAGTGCCTGCAAGCAGACATCTGTTAAACTAGCTGTTTGACCCTCTACTAAGTGCAGCCCTCACAGAGAATTGACAGGTTGTTGAAATATTTCCAGTAGTGCAAGCGTCAAGGTTGAGTGGATAGAAAAGATACATCAATAACAATAGATATTTACTCAGTGAGAAACATTCTGAGCGTTCAGTGAGGCAAAGGACCTGTGGGGATAAAATACTATCCAAGAAATGTTAGGATAATCTTAATTTGAACTTCCTGTTTCTAAGTTGTATTTGTAGATGGGTTCTTGAGTGCTTTGTTTCTTGAATTTTTTTTTAATGCTTTGCTTTATTCTCTTTATATTTCTTTCTGGCATATAAAAGTTTGTCTGTTTAAAACTTAAAGTGTTATGGTTATTTCATTTTTTTAATTTGCTAAATATTTTTATTTTTATGTTAAATTAACCTGGAGTCAGTGGAAATTTCAGTTATTGAAATACCTTTGAAATCACTTACTTGAAATAAAATCCAAGAGTTGTTGCTACTTAACAGTACGTAAATTAAAACATATCTTGTCCCAGGTCAAGAAGTGACTGAGGTCACTACTGCACATTTTTAAGGTAAATAGAATGTACTTCCACTTTCTCTTCATCATTGCTATGTAAAGACCCCATAACAGAGTAACTGTATATACTGGAAAAGGGTCAGACTGGCAGCACTTTTGCCTGTGCTGCTTGTCCCACGTAAAGCGAAGTGTGGATGGAGTCTCTCTTCCCTGCCCCCCCTGCTGCCCCAGTATTGCTGATGATGCCCTGTGTACTGTCAGTGAAACTGGTGCTCTTAAGACTGGTTGCAGGATTGTCTGTGCAGCAGGAGGCAAAACCCCCAACTATCAATTAATGCTTCTTAATCTCATGTAGTTTTCTTCACCTCTTGCTGATGAAGAAATGTGTGTGATAACAGGGAACATAATAAATTTATGAATGAACACTGTGTAGGCTGTTGTGATTTTAGTGATTAACTGGATTCTAAACACGTACTGTTCAGTACGTTTTTAAGCTTGGCTGTTGCGATGGGATTAAAGTATAAGAAAATCTAAAAAAGCTAATCCTGCTTAAATACATACAAGTTTTGACTAATGGATGCTCTATTTAAAGGAAATCCTCCCGCAGTTACTCCATCTAAAATTTTGACTGTGTTGTAAGTCTTCTGGGTTATAAACTAAAATCGTAAGTCTTTTGGGTTGCGGTTATTGCAAGAGAATCCAATCCAACCAAAATCTGTTCAATTGATGTTAATATTTCTAAATTATTTTGTTTTTAAAAAAAAAAGGGGGCAAACTTGCGTCATGACCATTGCACTTGCAAAAAACCTTACAGGCTTGTAAAACCCTTTGTAGTAGCTTCTTAAAAGTATTACTCATCAATATTAGCTGCAATGTCCCATCATAACCTCCACGGAAGTTACACGAGGAAATCAGTTCTGTTCTGAGCAGAGAACTCTTTGCATATACTTTCTTTTCCCCCGAAGGAGTGCAGGCGGGTATAAAAGGGAGCATTCCAGCGCTGCAGTCATTGCTTTGGCACATGTCACCTGATACGTAGAAAACCATTTGAAGCAGAGGGAAGAGGAAAAAATCAGCTTTGAAAGCTTAACCTTGGGAGGTGGTGGGATGGGGGATTAGGCGAATGTGGACATTAGTAGGGTGCAGGTGGGCAAAAGTGACTTTTATCCTGCCTTTTTCAGGTTACAGCGGTGAAAGAAGGCAAGCTTTCTTGATGCCATCTTTGGAAAAACTATTTTTATTTGTATCTATATGACTTGAAGATTTTATTTGCTGTTCCATGAATAACAGTCTCTCTTTTTATTTTATGCAGAATCAGATTCAGTACCTCAAGCAAGTCCAGCAGCCTAGTGTTGCCCAACTGCGATCAACAATGGTGGACCCAGCCATCAACTTGTTTTTCCTAAAAATGAAAGGTGAACTGGAACAGACTAAAGACAAACTGGAACAAGCCCAAAATGAACTGAGTGCCTGGAAATTTACGCCTGATAGGTAAACAAAACAAATACTCCCCAGTCAAGACTTCCCTGACAGTCCCACTACGAGAATGCTATGGTGGGACAGCCAAGTACTCGTTTCCACACCAAGACTCAGACGTTTTGAGGCAAAAGCCACATTCTTATACTGTCCAGCTTGTAATGCTTAATGTAAAACTTATCAGATGAACCTTGTGTTTCAGCTTTTTTCTCCCCCTTTGCTTCAGAAGCCTGACGACGTCGGACTGTTCTGAAGAAATGGCCATCTTCGAAAAAAAATCTTTTCTAGAACATGTAGACATTTGCAAAATTGTTCTATTTGAAGAAAATAGAGGGAGAAACAGAAGTCTTAAGTCTGTGGCACACTGTGTCTACAGACAGTTTGGAGGAGAGAGAACCTAGAGATTATAAATCATGAATTGAACATGTAAAATTCCCGTAAAATGTAGAAGTGGAATATGCTTCGCTCTTAACCTTGAGCCTAGTGACTTAGAGACACTGTAAGTCAGTTTTGCCAATAAGACTCTGGACTTCCTGCTTGTTCACTGTGAACTGCTGGGTCAAAACTTGATGAGGTGAATTTTGCGGTAAAGAGTTTACTCGCTAACCAGCTCTGAATAGCCGTGAGAGCGCTATTTGATATCACAACAGAGGTAGTGTACACAATTGACTGTTTAGCCTTTGGGCTCTCCAGCTCTTGATGGAGCCTTAAGTCAATGTTGCTAAATAATGAACTGTTTTCTGGATGGTCGGTAATACTGTGGACGCCTCAAAATTAGGACTGTACAAAAATGTACGTTCTCTCTAATTGCAGGTTTAAAATGGTTGGAAGCAATACATATTTGATCACAACTAGCACGTACAAGAAAAACTGGTTGTGATAAGTATTTCACTGCATGTTTTCATGCAGACATGAGAACTTATCGATCTTCTCTACTCAGAACTGATCTCAAATACAGAAGGCACACAATGGCAACCGTCTTCAGTGTTGGTGGGGTGTTTTCATTCCTTTGTACACCTGTTTTTTTTGTATTGCACTTCTATATAAAATGTGCCTTGAAATAGTTGTACTATATAGTTCAAGGAACACTACTGGTTATACTGTTGTATTGTGAAACGCCTGGGATGAACGAGAATTGAACAGGTTGTTATTTCTGCATTGTCTCGTTCTCTGAAAACAAAGTCAGTATTTTAACAAGCAGAAAAGCTTAAATGCATGCATTTGCCTTGGTGGAATCAGTGAAGGAGCCTTTGCTACTCTATTGGTGCCTCTGTTCTGTTGTCCCAAGTTACGTGTAAGAGTAGCTCTCTGGGACAGTTGGGAGTGCATGTCTGAGGTGTTTAAAGCGAAATGCAGATTTGATACGGCATTTGTCTGTTGTTTGGTTTTTTTTTTTTCCTCTTAGTGAATGGAGTTCTATTTAGTAATCTGAGGGTTTGATTTTCAAAACAGCTGGGCAACATTTTATGAATCAGTCCTAGAAAATTCAGTTTTAAATTGAAAATAAGACATCCAGCTGTCACAGAAGGTGATGTATTCTAACTGTTTTGGTGACTTATTAAGATGGCATTGCGTATTTTTAACTCGGAAGTATCTTAACTGTTCGTGCCTCAGATGATTAATACGGGACCGAAGAGTAGTGTATTTATGCAGGTTTACTTTTTTTGCATGAGTAATGACTTAACAGCAAAAGAAAAACCTACAGAAAAACTTTATCTTTTTAAAAGTGATACATCTGGATTGATTTTGCTATAGCAGTATCTGAGATTTTAATGATCTAGCATCAAAACAGAGGTAAGACTTGCATTAATAAATTGTTAACGTGTTACCAAGCCATTTGTAAAGCTCACTATAAATTGCGGATAGAGGCATGCTGTGCAGATTGTTTAACTTGCAGTTCAGAAAATCACTTAAAACCTTTAGGGTACAGGTTGGTTGGTTTCTTAAGCCCTCAGGCTCTAAATGTGTGTGGGCAACTGAGGGGAAACAACTAACTTGCCACTTTTTTCCAAGTAAAAGTATCAGAAGAGGATTTTGTTACTTCTGTAGCTACAACATACCCTGATATGCATTATATAATGTCGTCAGTGGTGTGGATCTGCATAATTCGTTTACGGAGTAGCTGGAATACAGAAAATTAGTTATGTCCTGGTAAACAATTGAGGTTGTCTTCAATAATTGGGTTAAGGTTTTATTGATTTTTATTTCTGGAAAGGTAAAGAAATGATGACTCATGTAAAGTATTTATAGGGGTTTTTTTATTCTCTTTACAAGCAGCTCCCCCTTCCCCCCTTTTTTTTTTTTAATTGATGTAATTGTCCATCCCTGTATGCAACTACTTACTTCGCAGCATCTGACCTACTTTTTGAAAGAGATGATGCTTCTGTTGAGCCCCCTGACTGGTGTTCTTAGGGTAACATGTACACTGCAACCCTAAGCAGTGTTAGTTCTGGCCCATAAGCGTAGATAAGGGTGTACAGCATAATCATTGCTGATGTCTGGAGGGAGGAATAAAAGGGCATGTAGCCAGAGGAGTGGCTGTGCTAAGCCATTTCAACTGTCGTTAACCATGGAGTTTACGCTTGGATTAACAGTGAGTAGGAATGTCATTTGCAATAAGCCTAGTACAACAAACACTAGTCTTCTGAAATTTAACCACTTATATTCTTACAGGTTTTCTTGCATGTATGTTCAAGAGGATTTATGAAAACAATGCCCAGTTTAGTTTTACAGCTAATAGGAGTTACTTGATTAGTTACCAGATTTTATATTCTTGCACGTGTTGTCTTTTTTTTTGTAAATTGCAAGGGGAGGTTACTTGGTGCCATACTAGTTCAGAACATCTGGAAAAATTTGATGGGAAGAAACAGCATTATAGGTAACTATGCAAATTTCTATACAGGTAATAAACATTTTACATTTTGGCAGGAGTTAACAAGAAGAAATTAATGGGATTCTAAAATTGTCCCAATTCCAAGGTAACCGGTATTGGCTAATTCTACAGTTGACGTTGTTTTGTGAAGAGAAAAGCATTTAATGACTTAAGCACTGTGAAATTCTTCAACTTATAGTGATGAATACAGTAAGAGGAATTTGCAAATGGCTAAAAATCATTGCGTGTCTGCCTGATAACTTTTGGGATGTCTCCAAAGTGGTCCTGCTTTACACAGAATGAACATCTCTAAGGAAACTTGCATCTTAACTGTGCGACTTGGACTGTATTAGGTCAGCACAATTTAAACTTCAAGGACCTGGCATTGGACATCACATCAAGAAAGAAAACAGTTTGCTGCCTTTAGCAGAGTTTCAGGCTTCCAGGACTTTACACAGCCACATTCCTTCTGGAGCAGCCCATCTGAAAGATTTGGGAGAGTCAGTCGGAAAATGTTAAATGGGGCAGAGTTGGCAGAACTTAAGTTGTCTAAGGCTTGAATGCTTAACAGGTAGTTGACAAGAAAATTATTACTTTAAATTCTTTTGGTTGGGTACTTTGGTTGCAGGAGAGAACCGTGGCTGTGAATTGTAGCAGAAATTTCCTGTTCTACTTTTTTAATCCTCGATTTCTTTCAATCTTTGTCACTTGTTTAAAAGCAAACAAACAAATGACCACCTTGGTCTTTGATAGTAATGCAAATCCTGCCGCTGATTTCACAGTAACCCTGTTCAAGTTTGGGTTGGGTTTTTTTTTGGCAGAGCTTACACTTCTGTAGAAAAGAGGAGAGCCTCATTATGTTGCTGATCCTACGGAAAGGAGAACTGTTTGTGGTTGCTATCCTGACTTTGGCAGACCGAGTCTTAAAGGACTGCAAGTTTTCTCTTTTTATGGAGTTAGCTGTATTGCCTATATATTAATTTGCATACCACTTCCTATAATGCTTTAAAATGCAGTCTTTATCGTGAAGATTAAAGATGTGTGATGTTACACATTTAGTAAAGAAAATCTTGTTAATTCAGAGTATTTTTTCCTGCCTGTTTCCCCTTTATTTCAGAAACTGGACATCCTAATGATCATTACTCATGAGCTGAAATCTGCCATTCTAAAGGAAGCAGATCAGTAATGTACTCTTCCCTTAATTTCCTGCCAGTTTTTAACTACAGTTTACTTTCTCCTCACCCATGCAAGATGTGCTTAGGAAAATCTGACCACAGAACTCATGGAACAGGCTGTGTAATTACTGTCAGATACATAAATTGAGTTGAAAAATAGACATCTCATTTTTTAAATGAGAGTACCTGGACAGCATTCAGAAGCATGACTAAGCCTGTCATGGATGTCACTATGAAAAATTAAACATGGGATTTAGCATTTCCCCCCAAGCAACTTTCTTCACCCAAATTTAATTACTGACTTTACTAGTGCAATAAACAAAGAAGGCTTTTGTTTATGATTCGGTTTACACATGTCATTTTTATGCAGTACTTGATCTTTTGAATTACAAGGCACATCTTTAATCAAGTATTTAACTCCGTTGAGAATTAGCACATGCAAGATTGTGCATACTGATAATCCAGATGTTGGTATCGAAAAAAGACCAATATGCTTATTCATATTTGCAGTAATAAAACTTGCCTTCCACTTTATGGGACAGCGACAGAAGATCAACGGGCCTTGGAACAGCACGTGGTAACTATAGGGAGACTTTCTGCTATGACAATTATGTTGAGGCATAATGTTCCTTGAATTGTGACATGCAGAAATTGCATCTCCTTTGTTCTCTGTAATTGTGATTGAGGAAGATTACTGAAGGTTTTGTATTCATTTTGTGATAGATGGCTCTTTCCTTTGCAGCCAAACAGGCAAAAAGTTAATGGCGAAGTGTCGAATGCTTATCCAGGAGAATCAAGAGCTTGGAAGGCAGCTGTCCCAAGGACGCATTGCACAGCTTGAGGCAGAGTTGGCTTTACAGAAGAAATATAGTGAGGAACTTAAAAGCAGTCAGGATGGTAAGGGGACTTTTTTAAGAAAATGGAAGTTGCCTTGCACTTCTGATAGTTTAACTTCCTGATGATACACATACTGTAAAACCATCTTTGCCAGAACAAAAGGGCAATACTGAGTAAAATACAACAATTTGAAGTCTTCACTACTGGTCTTAACTAAAAAAAAGAAAAAAGACTACAAACCTAACTTGGGGGGACTTGTGGGATTTGCAACTGCAGTAATGCGGCGTTTGAGTTTGAAATGGCCGGTTTTCATATTGTAGGCCTTGCTGTTGAATAGGGAATGTTCAGACTGGGCGCATTATTGGTGAGTTGGTAAGATGGAAGCTGCTCATGAAGCTAAGCACTCACTGAGAGCAGAACGCTTCTTGTTAACTCAAGACTTCTGAAATTAGTTTTAAAAAAATTTTTTTAACAATGCCTAACAGGTTGGGTTTTTTTTTTTGCTTAAGTAACTCACATGAACTAAAATGTGTCATTGTTGTGTTCACAGTCCAGATTTTTAGAGCACTGTAAACCTAAGTTAAAATTACCTATAAACTCTGACCTCTTGCATACTTTTAATGGAGGGGAGAATGCAAATTAAAAAAAAAAAATCAGTTGAGAGTTGTGCATGGAGTCCATCTGTGTTTTGGTAGAACGCCAGAGTAGGTGACCTCATTATTACAAGTGTCTTGGGATATGAGCTGTTGAGACACCACATAAACCTGGATATGATTTTGTTGTACTGCTGAAGTCTGTAAGGTAGCATAGATTTGATTTGGCATTAGGTCAGTCTGACGTATCCTTTATTTTTAAGGATAGATCCCCCTGCCATAGGGTTATATTTTGAGAAAGTAGCAGTATAAAATAATAACTAGCATTCCTGAAGTAAATATTTTTCCTGTGATGACATGTTGCTGGAGTGGTTACCCTTTCGCTTCGTAACTACTGCTCAGTTAAGGCATGTCATCTAAACTTACCAAGTCCATAACTGAAGCAAGCGTGACATTTTTTCAAGGTTGCAGCTCTTGAAGGCAGGGTAGTCCAGTGAGCTCTAGAACCAAGGTGTGTTCTTTAGTCCCTATTGCTTCTTCCCCATATGAACAAAAATGATGATGATCGTGCCGTAGCAGTTTTCCTAACAGCAGCAAGAACACTTTAATTTTATGATTTTTTTACAGTCATAAGCAGTTTGCATTTCATTTGCTCCATCATGTCAATGGTGCAATTGAATAAGAGCAAGGGAGTTGGTGGTACTTCTGTTTCCAGGTCAAATTTGTTTTGCAGCCCTAACTGTAAAACCTTTTTTCTTGGTACCCAAGTACCAAAGCACCCTGTGGAATTCGTAGCTTTGTTGGTAAGAAACTGTGTCCTGTATGCAGGATTTAAAGGATTAAAATCAGTAAGAGCTGAAACTTCCCTGAAATGCAACTAAATTTTTTTTTTTGTCACCTAATGGGCTTTTGTAATTACTCAGATCAATTATATACAGATGTGGTTCATGGTCACTTCCGCAGTAAGTATTTCTGCTGAGGTTTTACACTTGAGTAAAAGTAGATACACGAAGATCTACGTGCAAAATACTAATTGGTGGAATTGAGCGGTTTTCCACATTACCCTCCTTTCTTGCCCAGAAATTAATTTCTTCTCATCTACTCTGAGTAGCAGTATAAAAAGCATGCAGGTGATTGTTAAAAGCATTTCCTCCTTCAGAGGCAGAGTATCAAAACCAGTGCATACCTGATGGCTGAAAAATAGCCTGTTGAAAAATTTCAGCATAAAACGTTGAGTTACAGGATTTTAAGTTTTTCTTGTCTGAGATTCAAACTTTATATGGGCTATTAAGTATTTGCAACAAATGTGTTTTCTTTATATAGAGTTGAATGACTTCATCATCCAGCTTGATGAGGAGGTAGAGGGTATGCAGAGTACCATTCTAGTTCTTCAGCAGCAGTTGAAGGAGACTCGGGCGCAGTTGGCTCAGTACCAGCAGCAGCAGTCCCAGGCCTCCAACCCAGGTACCAGCAGGACTCCATCCTCTGAGCCTACAGACCAGGGAGAGGCTGTGGGTAAAGACTGCAGCCGGCTAGCAAACGGACCAAGCAATGGCAGCTCCTCCCACCAGCGGACGTCTGGGCCTGGATTTTATAGGGAGGGTAGCGGCACGGAAGATGATTTCCCGGCTTCTCCAGGGAATGGTAATAAGCTGTCCAACCACTCTGAAGATAGAACTGGTAGAGGAGGTGGTAGCTACATAAACCAGCTCAGTACTGGGTATGAAAGTGTAGACTCTCCCACTGGCAGTGAAAACTCTCTCACTCACCACTCAAATGACACAGACTCCAATCATGATCCTCAAGAGGAGAAAACAGTGAGCATGAAAGGTAACAGAACTGCGGGTTCTCGTCATGTCCAGAATGGTTTGGACTCCAGTGTAAATGTGCAGGGTTCAGTTTTGTAACATTTTTCTGCAACATTTTTATACAGTGTCATTGAAATTGGGAGAGGATACTGTCCAGAAGCTGTTTAAATTAGTGCATACTTGTCACAATTTTGCCTTTTTGTGGGTTTCTTTTTGCTTCAATACCTCTGCCACTTTGGAAATTTTAACAGTTAATTACGTTGAATGTTGCTAAAAGGACGTTTGTGTAGCTCAAGTTATTTTTATATGAGTTAATGTGAAGTTGAAATGGAAATTATTTCCATAAAGTATAACATAAATAATGTCTGTACAAATCTGTGTATATCTAGAACCTGTGCTGTGTAAGGGCATTCTTACTCATACTGTTATACTTACACCACCTTTGAGACTTGTCATAATAGCTGTGGGTTTATGACTGCCAAGTTTGCCCAGTACAGTAGTTTTATCACTAAAAGATGGACTTGCTGAAGGAGTCCTGTAGTAGTTTCAGTGTTAATTACAGTTTTTCCCACCACACATCCGTGCATTTTCTCTTTAGGTGACCGAATGTTTATGAATTGTGTGCATAGTTACTCAGTTTTTAAGAACTGTTGTATCCTGTTTATGCATATTGCTCTGTGACTCCAATATTATCTTACCTGTACTGACCAAACCTAAATAAAAACTTTTAATAATGTAATTTCCTTATTGTTCTGCATTGGCTTACAAGGCTTATTTGTATGCAGTGTATTTACAGTACTTGCCTTTTTCTGTTGAATTTGTTCCAGTGTCAATCCTGTCTGATACAGCTCATGCCAAACACCTGAAGTTACAGGTGTATAGTGTCATGCTTGCTTCAGGCCAGCCTGATAATGCTTATTCTACAGGTTTTGTCCTTACTGGCGGCTAAGGTAAAAACTAAAAAAGGAGAAAGTTTATTTTTAATAAGGGTTGGAACCTGGCTTCTATAAAGATCAAAAATGGGAAAAAAAAATCAAAAAGCTAGAAGTATCCAACAGGTAAATACACAAACTACAAAATTTTGAGTTAGTAATTCAGCCTCTTAAACCAGATATAACTCCTGTTGTTTTTAAATGCTTCCCTGAGGGAACTGACTTCTTAATGGGTGCAGAGAATGAAAAAAACCGCCTTTAATTAAGCATGCTTTTATTGTTTGTAGCAGTGAGTTACGAACTCCTCGTAATTTCTGATAGTTATTTTCTATCTAACAGTTTAGTGATGGTAGCAGCAATGGAGATGAAGAAGAACAGTGCTTAAAAGCCAGTGCAAAGGGAAGAGAGAAGTACTTGGCGGTTTATACTTTCAGGTGGTCTTCTGTCCAGTTTTAATAGTTTTCTACCTGGGAATCTTGTAACTACCAGATGACTAAAAATTGCCTATAGGTAGCCACTAAAACAATAGAAACCAACTTACAGTGACTGGTCTGAAAGCAGTATTGCTGCAGAGTGTGAGGGTGTAGGTGAATTTGTTTCACATTCACACAGTTAAGTTTGTAGATTATAGCAGGGTTTCTGAGGTACCGTTTCAAAGTGCCATACTGTGTGAGAACCAGCATCTGCAGTAGTGTTGTCCAAGACAAACGGATGTAACTAAAATGCTGCTAGCTGCTGTCATCTTTGTTGGAGATGTGCTACTGCATGTACTACTTCAGTTTCATAGGGTTCACCTGAATGTTTTAAAAGCACTTGGTAGTTGTCACTGGAGATGTAAATTGCATAGGTGACACCTGGTGGGTTTTTTGTGTTCCTTGGGCACTCTGCCTGAAAACAGCAGTTTTCAGTTCAGTGCATGAAAGGGAAGTGCTGTGTCGACACATAAAAGGACCACCACCTGGCACCCAAAGTAATTCCTAGTTCACAAAAATCCCTGATGGTGATCTGGATCGGGTTGCTGGTGATGCTTTACTGGGTCTTAGTATGGTATTGTTTGGTTATCCATAGTGTGTGTGTATGTACATCCTAGAGCCTGTACATGGTAAAATATTTCGTAAGAAGCTTAAAATGCGGATAATGGATGGTAACAATGGCTTTATCTGATAATAGAGATGGTAAAAAACTTTGTGGGGAAATCCATAGTCTGGTTCAAATCTCTGTCTGAAATACAAAGCAAAGTCGTGCCAAGAAAACGGTAGATACTGTTTCACCTAATAGAAGGAAGGATATGTAATATTTCTGGAGTTAGTAATTGCTACTAGTTGTGCTAAGGCTAAAAGGATGCATAGCTTTCAGACGGTGACAGCTTGCTCTGTACATCGGTCAGTTACTGTAGGACAGCCATATCTTTAAAATCATCTTTATAGGAGTGTTTTCTTCAGAGTGTGTGGTACTTAATTTTTAAATAGTAAAAAATGAAAGCTTAGCTAAAAAAAAAAATTACAAATTATACCCTCAGCCTAGAAGTTAGCTTAACTTGTTGAAGGAACATAATTGTAAAGCAAGGCCTTCTTTTGCTGAGAGGGTAACTTCTAAGTAAGCAGGCTGGGGTGTTTGTTTTGGTTGTTTGTGGTTGGTTTGGTTTGGGGTGTGTTTGTTTTATTTGGGGTCTTTTTTTCCAAAATGAAAGAAACCCAGCAACTGCATTATTTAATAACAGAAATGCATCATATAATTGACCTGCTTTCTCTGACCACTTACTGCAAAGAATTAGTGAATTGCAGTATAGTAATACATAGAGAAGTGCTAAAACTGGTAATGTTCGTGTTCTTGCCTGGCTGTCAGTGCCTTTATTAAGACATTTGATAATTCTGAATGTAGTTGGTTCCTTTTAACAAAAGATGGCATTTTGTTGATCACCAATAAATATTCATCTTGAAAATGAGGTACTGCCTAAATCTTGGTGCATCTGTTTTCAGCAGTCTTCGTTCCAAACCTCCTGTTGCTTTCGGAAAATTCACCTTTTATCATATCTATTGATGAAGCAGTTGCTCTCGCCGCTCAGCTTTCCAGAGCGCGCCGCTGGCTGGCAGGTGCAAGTGAACTGGCGTGGTTTTCTAGGGCCTGTCCAGCGGCGAGGGGACGGACGGACACTGGTGCTGTAGCTCCCAGCAGGCCGAGATTCCCTGCACCCCTCTCTCCAGGTAGATTTCCTGGCAATTTCCAGGATAAGGTAATTTATTTGCAAGAAGGTTGGTCAGACCTAGCCCACGCTGAATTTTAGTAACTTGTGTTTTTACAGTCTGATGGTTCATGGGTTGTGTAGGATCTCAGAATACACGTGTTTGTTTAAAAAGACAAAAAGCGAAGGGACGAGGGTTTTCTGGTAGCAGAGATGATTTCCGTACAATTCAGATTTACCGGACGTTTGTCTTGCCTGCAGAAGCGCCTCCTGACTCTGAGGGAAGAGTTCTCCACACTGACCTTTCTTGGAGAACCAGCTGTTACTGGGTCTTTGCACTAACTACTGATTATTTTAGCTGACGGGGGTTAAGGTACCCGAATGAAGGATTCTCCTCAGCGCTCAAGGCCTTTGAATCGCTACCAGGAGGGAAAACACGTCGGGGGAAACAAGATGCGCGCAAAACCGAGGAAAAGAACAGAAATGAACCACACGAAGTAAGTCGTAAACAAAATAGCTGAAAAGGTACGTGTTGAGCGCTGCTAGTCCTGTCGGTAAGCCGACGGGAAGGTGCCTTTGCCGGGCAGGTTTTCAGGGCTCGGTACAGCTCCCTCGTGCCGCTGTCTCTGGCTCATCTCCCTCAGTCGCCCGCCCTGAGGCGGGGCGGGCGGCGCCGAGGGCGGGCGAAGACGCGGTTGCGCCGTCGGTGGTGGCG